CCAAATTCCCCCTCCAAGATCCAGATTCACATTTCTAACTTTGTGAAAATATGGAACGCTTCACGAATTTGCGTGTCATCCTTGCGCAGGGGCCTCATGTATCTTTTTAAATTAGTTTTCCTCTCTTCTGGGTGTGTGCCCAAGGGTGGGACTGCTGGATCACGTGGCAACTCTGTACTAGTTTTCGAGGAATCTCCATACTGTTCTCCACAATGGCTGTGCCAATTTACATTCTTTTTTTTTTTTTTTAATGTATATTTGACTGTGCTGGGTGTTTGCTTTTGTGCACTTTCTCTAGTTGCAGTGAGGAGGGCTGTTCTGGTTGCAGTGCATGGCCTCTCTCGTTGCAGAGCGGGGCTCCAGGTGCACAGGCTTCCGATGCGGCTCGGGCTCAGTAGTTGTGGCCCACACAGGCTCAGTTGCTCTGCAGCGTGTGGGGTCTTCCTGAACCAGGAACCAAACACATGTCTCCTGCATCGACAGGTGGATTCTTCACCTGTGAGCCACCAGGGAAGCCCTGTTTGTAGGCTTTTTAATGATGGCCATTTTGACCAGTGTGAGATGGTATCTTACAGTAATTTTGATTTGCATTTATCTAATAATTAGCATTTTTGAGCATCTCTTCATTTGCCTGTTGGCCGTCTGTATGTCTTTTTGGAGAGATGCTGTTTAGGTCTTCTGCCCATTTTTAAAATTTATTTATTTTCTGCCCATTTTTGATTGGACTGTTTGTTTTTTTGATAATGAGCTGTATAAACTGTATGTTTTGTAAATTAAACCATGGTTGCTTGTATCATTTGCAAATATTTTTCTCACAGTCTGTAGATTGTCTTTTTATTTTGTTTATGGTTTCCTTTGCTATGTAAAAGCTTTTAAGGTTAATTAGATCCCATTTGTTTATTTTTGCTTTTGTTTCCATTTTTCTAGAAGATAGACTTATCGAAAATAATACTTTCGTGATTTTTGTCAAACTGTGTTCTGCCTGTTTTCCTCTAGGAGTTTTATAGTATCTGGTCTTAGATTTAGCTCTTTAATAATCCTTTTTGAGTTTATTTTTTTATATGATGTTGGAAAATGTTCTGATTTCATTTTTTTACGTGTGATTGTCTAGCCACAGTATATTTTAAACCTATTATAGAAGTATAGCAGTTAAAGCAGTGTGATACTTACACATAAATGGGTAGAATTAGAATAATTACAGACCCAGATATGTCCACAGTTACTGTGTAATCAAAGTAATAGCAGAGAAAAGATGTTCGGAGCTAGTGAATTTGTGAATATTTATTTTTGTAGCCAAGTCCTTGATGTAGTGTTTATACTCCATAACCTACCTTTAAAAAACAAAAAAAGTAAAAAACAGAAGCATGTGACGCTGTTAATTTAAAATGCAGAACCAAAGCTACTGAGCAGCAGCTGATGCAGTTACTGGCTTGCGTGTGAAAAACTTTCCCCTCTTCTTTCCTTAGTCTCCTTGTTGCCTCGGATGAAGGGAGTCCATAATTTAAAGCCGGGGAAGGATGACCTCATCCCCCTCCTTTCTAAATGAGCCACTTTTGGCATCAGCAGTTGACTGGGGAGAGTAAACAGAAACTCCCAGTCAGAGCCCTGGAACCCCAGTGCCCGGAGTTCTTTCCTTTTTTGCTGCAGCCAGTGTAAACTTTTGTAAAAGACTAATAGTGAAGATTAGTATATTAATGATTGCATGGAGGCCAGCACTGCTGTAAATGAGACACATCACTACTGTAAGCCGAAATGAAACAGAAGAAAAAGTATCCTTTTTACTCTAAAACAACAACTGAACAAGTGTAAAGCACTACATTGTTTGTTAATCAGCTGTACTCTGATACAAAATAAAAAGTTTAAAAAAAAAAGACACTCTACTTACACCTGGGGATACTGTTTAAAAAAATAATCTCCAACTAGGGACACCCTTTCAAGTAAACCTTAAATCCCAGAGCTGTTTTTAAAAACTCTCAATTAAAATTTTACTGTCTAGTCCTTATTTGTAGAATGTCAACTGATATAGGAGGAATGGTGGGTTTAAAAAAACACTCTTTCACAGTCAACACAGTAATATTTGCGCCTGCCAATGGTTATCCTTGGGTACCTAAACAGTTGGATGAAAGACAGTGGGGAAACAGGATAGTCTCAGAATTTTTAAAATGGCACCCCGCAGGTTAAAAATTTTAAAAGGAAAAGGAGACAGAGGTACCATTTTGCTGTGATACACCGAAAAGGCCACCGCATCACCTGTGTGACTCCCAAAATGTGGGAGTCTTTTTTTTCGTTGCTCAGACACTAAGTCATGTCCAGCCCTTTGCGACCCCATGGACTTCAGCATGCCAGGCTCCTCTGTCCTTCACTGTCTCCCAGAGTTTGCTCAAATTCTTGTCTGTTCGAGTTGGTGATGCTATCTAACTATCTTCTCCTCTTCTGCCCCCTTTTCCTTTTGCCCTCAATCTTTCCCAGCATCAGGGTCTTTTCCAGTAAGTCGGCTCTTCGCATCAGATGACCAAAGTATTGGCGTTCCAGCTTCAGCATCAGTCCTTCCAACGAATATTCAGTGCTACTGAGGAGCAGTCCACATACAGATTCACCCAGTTCCTCCCAGTAACGTCACTTAGATTTTTTTAAAGCTCCTTAACTTCAGGATCTAATCAAGAACCAGGACAACCATTGTTTCCTCACAGTAAGATTTTGAGCATAAGCTGTGGGAGTCTTACTGTTGAGGAAATAATGATTATCCTGCTCCTTGATTAGATCCTGAAGTTAAGTGGCGTTAAAAATCCCTGCTGGCTCAGACTGTAAAGAATCTGCCTGCGATGTGGGAGACTTGGGTTCGATCCCTGGATTGGGAAGATCCATAGGAGGAGTGCATGGCACCCGCTCCTGTACTCCTGCCTGGAAACTCCCCATGGACAGAGGAGCCTGGTGGGCTACAGTTCGTGGGGTTGCAAAGAGATGGACACGACTGAACGACTAAGCACACACACAGAAAAATCTCAGTAGTGTTATTGGGGAAATTGGGTGAGTTTGAATCTGGACTGCTCTTCAGTAGCACTGAATTCCCATAGGCTCCCTGAGGGTTACTGGTGGTGAGTAGCTTGGGAGACTGTTCTTAGGAGACACACACTGCACTCTCTTTAAGGGTGAGATGTCCCTAGGCTGCAGCTCACTCTCACGTGGTTCAGAGTGTGTGTGTGTGTGTGTGTATCTGTGCATGTATGTGTGGTATGGGGTGTTCATATATCTAGAAATACATGTACAGTGGGAAAATGTTAACAGCTGGTAAATCTGAGTGTAAAGTATAAGACTTCGTTACAGTGTTACCAGTTTTTTTTTTAACATTAAGTTGGAAAATTTTCCAAAGTATAAAAATATATAAATTAAGTGAGCTCACAAAATGGGAGATAATATTTTCTCACTATGTGATAAAGGGTAGATTTCTTTAATCTATGAAAACAGAAGAGTATTAACAATCCAATAGAAAAAGAGGTAGCAGGAAGAATAGGTACTCCACAGTCAAGATATGAAAAAATGTTTAACCTCTCTTGCAGTAAGAAGCAGGTAAGTAAAAATAGCATTTTTAATTTTTCCTGGCAGAGCTAAAAAAAGGTTTATAACATGCTGTGTGAGGAGACAGGCATGAGACAGTATGCACTAACATATTAATGATGTGAGTGTGAATTGGTAGAACCTTTTTGGAGGACAGTAGGGGTTAAAATTTAAAATCCACCACTTCTCCTTAGATATGAGCATATCTAAATTATTCACCTATGTAGGTGTACCATGAAGTCTGTATGAGAATGTTTGTTAGAGAGTACTTTATGGTAATAGCAGAAGATGGGTAGCAATTTAAATGGCCATCCCAGGGGACTGGTCAGACGAAGGCCAGAGAAAAGATCAGGCAGTGCGGCAGCCACCCTGGGCACAGAGCGAGGCAGCTTCCGAAAGGACTCTCTGGATAAGACAGGTCTCTGATAGGCAGTTTTCCAGTTTTCCGTCAATAAAGGAAGATGGTGAACACTTTGTAAATGTCACAAAAATTGTTTTTTAAAAGGGAGGATCTGGGTGCTGGTTACATGGTTGCATTCACTTTGTGAAAATCTGTCAAGCAGGTCTGTCCGTGTAACATATATTAGAAGCTTGCTGAGAAATTCCAAAGGGAGAGAAGATAATAGGAACACTTATGTGTACAGAAAGTGTTTCTAGAGGGATATACAAGAAACTGTTCATGTTGGCTGCCAGTGGGGCAGGGTATTGAGGGACAGAGATACAGCAGAGGCTTTCTGGTACTGTATTTCTTTTTTTACATGTATTACTATTAAAGAAGTTAGTGAGTTTTTTCATGAAAACTTTATAATGCCTTTTAAATGATAGCAGGAAAGTACAGATTATGGTAATAGGATTCTGACTAAATGTATGTAGTCAGATAAAGATCGTATACATGTATCTGACGTGTGTTTAAGAAAGAAAGAATAGGGGAAAATTCAAAGTTAGATACTAACAGATTTTTTTTTTAGCTGATGAGACTGAGTTTTTTCTTCTGTATTTCTCTGTATTTCTCCAAGATTTCTGTAGTGTGATTACAATATTTTTCTGGTGGACAAAAATGAAAATACGATTCTTTTTTAATGCTTAGTAAGAACTTTTTTACCTGTAGGAATTGCTCTCTGCTCCCTTTTTCACCCCTCACAAAAAGTAGAACATTTCAAACAGAATTGTTCCATTATTAGTATGCAAGTAACATGAGACTCATATATAACGATGGCCCAGGTTACGTCATTCCAGCAGGAACAGGTGTCTTCAGGCCGGAGGAACATTCCAGGGGCGAGTGAGAGGTGGGCTCACCCCCTGGCTGTGATGCCTTTCACTGCTGTCATCACAGCTTCTAGTTCATTTTAAGCTGCCATTTTCTGTCATGAACTGTCCTGGATCACATTAGCCAGGCAGCATGTCATGACCATCTTTCTGCTCCTTTTGCATTTTGTGTTTTTTAGAATAACTGCACAAAGACTTGCCCACTTGAACAAGTGCTTGATGAACTTTAAGCTGGGGAATTTCAGCTATCAGAAAAACCCTCTGAAATTGGGAGAGCTTCAAGGAAATCACTTCACGGTTGTCCTCAGGTAAAGAGCTGTGGCGGGGAGTACAGACCAGGGAGGATCTTCTCGGATCACCTTGAGTCTCTTCGGAGTAGTTGTTAATTCCACTGAGCTGGCACCAATGGTCTTGGCGGCCCAGGAAGGCGAGGTAGGGTCTGATGGAGCTGGGAGAGCAAACCCAGCTGTAGTGTTTGTACCAATACAGCCACCACTCGACTCACTCCGCGCCACCTTTGGAGTGAGGCCGTCTCCTTGAAATACAAAAGACAGCCTACGCTTCCACCTACCTAGAATAGGCAGATTCATAGACACAGAAAGGTAGAATAAAGGTTACCAGGGGTGTAAGGTGGGGAGATGAGTTACTGTTCAGTAACTGGAGTTTCAGTTTGAGAAGATGAAACAGTTCAGGAAGTATATAGTGGTAGAGGTTTCACAACACTGTGAATGTACTTAATGCTACCATATTGCATACGTAGAAATGGCTAAAATGGTAAATTTTGTGTTGTGTACACTTGGCAGTTTTTAAAAAGACAAAGTCCTTGGGAGGTAGAAAGCTCCACAGGACACGGGAGAGGCACAGGATCAAGCCACGTCACTTAGGATTTGCATCCCTGAGTGTGTTTGCCTGTAAATTTTTTTCTCTGGGTCATTTGGTGTCGTTCGTCGCCCCCCCCCCCCCCCCCACCTCCAGAAATATAACAGGAACTGACAACCAAGTGGAACAAGCCATGAACTCTCTCAAGGAGATTGGGTTTATCAACTACTACGGAATGCAAAGGTTCGGAACCACAGCTGTCCCCACATATCAAGTTGGAAGGTTTGTATTTAATTTTTTAACTTTTGTCTGAAAGAACTCGCTCATTTAAAAAAAAAAAAAGAAGAAGCAAGATTTTTTTTTTTTTTTGGTCAGTGATGTTTTTAGTTATTTCTAGATTTCTTGGAAAACTGGACCACACGAATCCTTTTAGATGACCAACTGGTCCACAGCCGCCTCCTAAGTTTTGTTCCGTTTTATGATAGTTCATGTACAAGGTGAAAAAGTAAGTCAGGGTTCAAAGAGCTTTAACCTGATGAGTCAGTTTTTCTCTCCCACCTAATAGCCCATCCAGGGATTCTGTTTTCTTTTACACAGATAAATCTTGGCTCAGTAAGTGACCCAGCAGTAGCGGTTGGGTTAACTCGGGCCCAGAGTAGCCTGAAGGAGACGTGTAGTTTATGGTCTCTGTTAGCAGGTGCTTCCTAATTTCTTAAACTGGTACCTGCCGTTCCCTCACCCTTTAAAGAAAGTGGTGTAAGATGCAGTGAGCACATAAAATTTATTTTAAGAACTCTCTGATCAGCTTTGTGATAATAGGAAATCCCTCTAGGTGAGCTGGGGTGGGAATCCCATCAGTAAATACTTGGGTTGATAAGCTTACTTACACTATCCTGCTGTCCTTGGATACTGTGTTACCTAAATGATTATTCACATGGCAGTTAGGATTGGGAAGCTTGAGTTGGAAGTGATCTGAGAGATGATTTAGTTCATGTTCTTCCTGGCACTTCAGATTCTTTGCTTTAGCAAAGGTGAAATTTGGGCTTGGGGAGGCAACTCGAGCCCACTGGTTTGTCAGCTGCAGTCCTGAGAGGAGAGGGGTCTTCTCAGCTTCACTCCAGGATTTCAGCAGCTGACTCTATGAAGTTGCATTTGTTCACGCATCCTTAAGAGCACAAAATGAAAGTATCATGTAGTATCTCCTCTACCTCTCTGAGGCTGTGTTGTGAGGGTAGAAAGCTCAGGCACAGGGGGACTTTTTCTGGCAGTCCAGTGGTTAGAGCTCCACGCTTCGCTGCCAAGGGACTCGGTTCAGCCCCTGGTTGGGGAGCTAAGATCCCACACGCCACGTGGAATGGCAAAAAAATAATAAAAACCACTCGTATAATTCAGTAACAACAAAGAAACCTAATTTAAAAATGGGCAAAGAATTTGACTATTCCCCAAAGAAGATACACAGATGACTAATAAACACATGAAAAGATGTTCAGTACCACTAATTATTAGGGAAATGTACATCAAAACCAGAGTAGGATATGACTTTGTACCCATTAGAATGGCTATTATTTAAAAAAAGAACAAAAAGGGAAAGAAAATAAGTGTTGGGTGTGGAGAAATTACAGCCCTTGCACAGTGCAGGTGAGAATATAAAATGGAACTGCCGTTGTAGAAACGATATGGACAGTCCCCCAAAACTGAAACATAGAGCTACTACCGTATGATTCGGCAGTTCCGTTTCTGGATGTATATCCAAAAGAAATAAAAACACTCGACAGATATTTATACACCTATGTTGAGAAGAGCATTGTTCACAATAGCCAAATGGTAGAAGCAGCCAAATAGGTGTCCATTAACAGATGAACTGATAAACAGAATGTCCATAGATGCAGTGGGATGCAGCCTTAAAAAGGAAGGCAGTTTTGACACATGCTACAGCATGAATAAACCTGAAGACTTTTATGCTAAGTGAAATAAGCCAGTCGCTAAAGGACAAACACTATGTAATTCCTCTTATCTGCAATTCCTAGAGTAGTCAAATTCATAGACAAAGTAGAATGGTGGTTGCCAGGAGCTGTGAGGAGGGGAAAGAAGGAGTTCCTGTCTACTGAATCCTGAATTGATCACGAAAGATTGAAGAGCCCTGGAGGCAGGTGGTCCTGATGGTTATACGGCAGTGTGGCTGGACTTAATGCCGCGGAACTGTCCACTTAAAAATAGCTGAAATGATAAATTTTATGCTATATATACTTTACATGGTTTATAAAAGAAGGTGAAAAAAGGAAAGATACTAATAATATCCGAAAAGTAGAAAACATTTTAACATAGGATGGCTTATTGTAAACCACGTATATCCATCTTTACTATGGTGACACACTGAACCTTCACGCGTGTGATAGTATCTTAAGAGTGTAATGTAAGAAGCCTTGTAGCTAAACAATTTTACGTTATACCGAGTGCTGGCACACTTTTTCTGCAGAGGGTCGGGTCATAAAGAGTAGACTTTGTGGGCCACACAGGGAGTCCGGCAGCTCCTCAGCACTGCTGTTACAGGGCGCAAGCAAGCAGAGGTAGCACAGAGGTTAATGAGCATGGCTGGCTTTCAGTAGAACTGTTTACAAAGTCAGGCGGCCAGCCAGAGAACAAAGGTTTCTGGGCACAGAAGCCTTTTCTTCATGGTATTTGGTGCACCACCACCTAGTCCTGAATTAGCGCTGTGCTCTTTTTGGGAATGCTACTGAAGGCCTAGGCCAGCTGAGGAATGTTTTACTCAGGAGGGTGTTTTAAGGCTGTTGGAGCATGGCTTGTTCCAGGACTTCAAGAATGGCCAGCAGTGGGGTATCTTTTAGAATAATTCATTGTACTAGTAGGTTAAAAATCTACTAACTAGTTAGTAGATTGGTTAACTACTAGTTAGTTAACTCGTAGGTTAAAAATGTGGTCTCATTAATATAGACAGTAGCATTTTACATAAAACACAAATATCTCATATAGATTAACTTAAATGTGAAAAATAAAAACTCTAGTTAAGTAGAAAAACAGAAAAATTAATAGGAGGAATTTTTGTTTTCTGGTGGTAGGGAAGAGCTTTCTGACTCCAAGCCTAGAAATCTTAATGAGGAAAAAATGTTCAGATATGATACACAAAATATATCCTCTGTGTGGCAAAAGATAGTATAATAAAAGTAAAAGGAAAAATAGCATACACGTAAAGATCAAGCAGGTCTTGAAATCTACACTCTGAAGTGTTAACTGTTTGTTTTTTAGAGGTTAGATAGCAGGTAACCTCCTTTCTTCTGTACTGTTTAATTTTATAGAAACATGTACAACTTATAATCAGCAAAAGTAAAGATACTTCCATTTTGGTGAGAACTATAATGCAGAAAGATAAACTGTATTTATTCTCTTTACCTAGGCAAGACATTTTTTAATACAGGGGAGAAATTTTTTGAAAGTTTCAAATAAATATTGATATGTAAAGACTTACTTATACAGATAATACCATGTATAACAGCTTAAAGCATGACTAGGTAGTATTTATACTGTATAGCATTTTAAAAATGAGATGATACTAAATGATTTAATGTTATATTATTAATTTTCTTCTCTCTTTTTAGTTCTTTTTAACATTTACATTTGAAACCTGTGTCATTATATCAATATTAGTTTTTTTGCTTTAAAGTTTAATAAAATATATAAAGTTAACATGATTTGTTGACTCTACAAATTTGGGCAGATAAAACTCATCTTAATGCAAAATTAAGTAAAATAAATGCTGTTTAATTTTAGAGCTATACTACAAAATTCCTGGGCTGAAGTCATGGATTTAATATTGAAACCCCGTTCTGGAGGTGAGAATAAAAATAATCTTAAGGAAAAAAAAAGGAATATATGACTCGATATTCATGAAATTGCTTTGAATAAAAGTATAGGTGCAAATTGGCGTCATTATTTCAGAATTTTTGCATTTTTATTTTTGTACAAGTCTTATGTATATACTAGAGACTTATAATTTATCTCTTATTTTCAGCTCTTTAGCTCAAGCTCATCTAATTTATTAACTCATAAATGAATACATTCTTTTCTTTGTGCACTACTAAATCTCTGAACATACAGGAATCCAAACAGATTTCAGTGGTGGTTAATGTGTTATAAAAACAGAGTGTAATATAATATAAAAATTTGGAGAAAGCACAGAGAATTTTTGTTTGAAGAGTTCATTAGAAATTCTAATGTCATACTGTATTGAAAAAGGATTTAAGTATCACTTTATAAATCACCAAAGTAATTATTTCCACTGTGGATGATTATTCATTTGCACATTAAAAAGAGATAAGGTTGTCTAATTTTATGGAAAGTTTCCCATTACATTCGATAATACAGTAGAAAGAGAGGGAAGGAAGAAAGGGCTGCCTGGGTTTTGTCTGATGTTGAGTCGGCTTGGCAGTGCTCAATGGTAGACTTTAAGTCCTGAGATGGTAGCATGAAAGCCATCTAGTTCTGTAAGCTCTCTGCCTTTCCTGTCTTTTCATTTCTGATTATTGCTCTCAGGTGAGCAGAAGCTCTTCCGAGTACCTCTGTCACAAATAGCAGTTCCTAATTTTGTCTTCTCTGTGAAATGTTTTAAGTTATGAAAATCTGTCTTTTGGACAGACTGTTTAATCACAGCTTTTTTCCCCCCCTCCAGCTGAAAAGGGGTACTTGGTTAAATGCAGGGAAGAATGGGCGAAGACCAAAGACCCAGCCGCTGCCCTCCGAAAACTACCCGTCAAAAGGTGTGTGGAAGGGCAGCTTCTCCGAGGACTTTCAAAATACGGAATGAAGAATATAGTCTCTGCATTTGGCATAGTGAGTGCAATTTGTGAAGTCAGGCCCTGACTCAAGGTCGCTTACTGCTTTGAAATTTTTATCTTTAAATTTTACTAAATTTCGAAAGAACAGAAGGTATTATAAATAAGGCTCCTTTGGTGATCTCTGAGAGCTGTGTTACCTGAGTAGTCCTTGTTTAGACCCTGGATGGTGACCGGGGAGGGCGGCGGGTGCAGACAGTGGAACGGTGACGATTAACATGGAGAGCATGAGAAAAGCATCCGTGTGAGGAGGTTCGATTTAAATGAAGTATTAATGTCTTGGTATTTGAGAAATCAGAACCCATCATAGAGGTCATTTCTTGGTCACTCTCCAGCATCAGAATGTAACCTGCCTCAGTGAGAGGGTTACACAGTAAGTGGTCTAATTGACTGCACTCTAGTGTGGTTTCTCTGGGTACCATCCTGGTGAGTATAGCCTGTATTTGTGTTTGGATACTGTAATCCCAATAGACTTAAAGTTTAAGTTGTTAAGTCTTGCTTGTTCCCCAGAGGTACCGCCAAAAACTCAGGATTCCTGTTCCAGGAAATGAGTTGTCAATCAGTCATAGAGGCTTTTGCCTTCTGTACAACTAGAAAACACTGTTCGCTCGATGATTGATGTGTAAGTTCCTTGAGCTTGAAGTCTGTGTCTTTAAGTTAGTGCAGGGGTCCCCAGCCCCTGGGCCACGGGACCGACACCCGTCTGTGGCCTGTTAGGAGCCAGGCGGCACAGCAGGAGGTGAGCAGTCAGTGAGTGAGAGATGCTCGTTTATAGATAGAGATCTCTATTTACAGCCACTCCTTATCTCTTGCATTGTTGCCTGAGCTCCACCTCCTGGTGGCTTAGTAAGCATAATGCACTTGGATCATCCCATCCCTCCCCACCCTCTGTGTCCCTGGAAAAATTGTCTTTCACGAAACGAGTCAACTGGTGCCAAAAAAGTTGGGAACTGCTGATGTAGAGTATGAATTCCAAAGCGCTTGTTTTCTTCACGTTCACGTCTGCACTGTGGGTGCGAAACGGGAGCTGCTGCTGATTGTGGGTACCTTGCAGCCTGAGGGGTTCCGTCTCTGAAGTTGGTTGCCATGTATCAGTCACTGTCTCTGTAAGCTCTTAGAAAAAATGGGAGATGGGAGTTAGGAGTTTCTTATATGAGGTGCGCCACTTAACAAATGGGATGTCTTGGCAAGTACAGTACTTAGAGTATTCAGAATATTTATTTTCTCTTTTTTTTTTCTCTTGGTTTTTTTTTTCCCTCCCCTCAGATACCAAGAAACAATCGCTTAATGTACATTCACAGCTATCAGAGCTACGTGTGGAACAACATGGTGAGCAAGAGGATTGACGAATATGGGCTGAAGCCTGTGCCCGGCGACCTTGTTCTTAAAGGAGGTAAAAGGCAGACACCATCCTTACTCAGCCCACCTTGGGGTCGGTTGTTTGACACTAGTGCTGAAAATCCAGCCTGGCTTCTGGTTAAGATAGAGAGCTTGTGTCTGGTAAGCTTGAGATGAAAGGACAGTTTAAGCTCAGACTGACTGGTTTAGATCTGTTATCTTTAAAGAAAAATGCTTCTGAGTTGAAAATATGCACCTTAGTCTCCATTGTCTTAACTAGGATAAGATTTGGAATAAGTGTTGCCTAAAATCCCTTGCCAGATCCTAACCTGAGTCTCAAATACTTCTCTACACCTCTGAATATGCTTCAGCCTCCCTGCTGTTCTAGGTCAGCCTTAAAGAGTTTCTTTTAGTCAACACAAGACTGGAGCTCACTTTGCTTGGGGGCTGCAATGTAATAGACTTTTAGTGCATACGCAGTGCCTGACATGTTCATAAACTGTGCAGACAGCCCCATCTGCTATTGACCACTTACTGTGTGCCAGGCCTTCTAAGCCCTTTACTTTATTTTATTTTTTTTTTTTCTTTTTTTATTTATTTATTTATTTTTTTTTTTTATCACAACCATAGTGTATCTTTTTTTTTTTTTTTTTTACATGTATTCCCCATCCCGGTCCCCCCTCCCACCTCCCTCTCCACCCAATCCCTCTGGGTCTTCCCAGTGCACCAGGCCCGAGCACTTGTCTCATGCACCCAACCTGGGCTGGTGAACTGTTTCACCCTAGATAATATACGTGTTTCAATGCTGTTCTCTTGAAACATCCCACCCTCGCCTTCTCCCAGAGTCCACAAGTCTGTTCTATACATAGGAGTCTCTTTTTCTGTTTTGCACATAGGGTTATCGTTACCATCTTTCTAAATTCCATATATATGTGTTAGTATACTGTAATGGTCTTTATCTTTCTGGCTTACTTCGCTCTGTATAATGGGCTCCAGTTTCATCCATCTCATTAGAACTGATTCAAATGAATTCTTTTTAATGGCTGAGTAATATTCCATGGTGTATATGTACCACAGCTTCCTCATCCATTTGTCTGCTGATGGGCATCTAGGTTGCTTCCATGTCCTGGCTATTATAAACAGTGCTGCGATGAACATTGGGGTGCACGTGTCTCTTTCAGATCTGGTTTCCTCGGTGTGTATGCCCAGAAGTGGGATTGCTGGGTCATATGGCAGTTCTATTTCCAGCTTTTTAAGAAATCTCCACACTGTTTTCCATAGTGGCTGTACTAATTTGCATTCCCACCAACAATGTAAGAGGGTTCCCTTTTCTCCACACCCTCTCCAGCATTTATTGCTTGTAGACTTTTGGATAGCAGCCATCCTGACTGGTGTGTAATGGTACCTCATTGTGGTTTTGATTTGCATTTCTCTGATAATGAGTGATGTTGAGCATCTTTTCATGTGTTTGTTAGCCATCTGTATGTCTTCCTTGGAGAAATGTCTGTTAAGTTCTTTGGCCCATTTTTTGATTGGGTCATTTATTTTTCTGGAGTTGAGCTGGAGGAGTTGCTTGTATATTTTTGAGATTAATCCTTTGTCTGTTGCTTCGTTTGCTACTATTTTCTCCCATTCTGAGGGCTGTCTTTTCACCTTGCTTATAGTTTCCTTTGTTGTGCAAAAGCTTTTAAGTTTCATTAGGTCCCATTTGTTTATTTTTGCTTTTATTTCTAAAATTCTGGGATGTGGGTCATAGAGGATCCTGCTGTGATTTATGTCGGAAAGTGTTTTGCCTATGTTCTCCTCTAGGAGTTTTATAGTTTCTGGTCTTACATTTAGATCTTTAATCCATCTTGAGTTTATTTTTGTGTATGGTGTTAGAAAGTGTTCTAGTTTCATTCTTTTACAGGTGGTTGACCAGTTTTCCCAGCACCACTTGTTAAAGAGGTTGTCTTTTTTCCATTGTATATCCTTGCCTCCTTTGTCAAAGATAAGGTGACCATAGGTTCGTGGATTTATCTCTGGGCTTTCTATTCTGTTCCATTGATCTATATTTCTGTCTTTGTGCCAGTACCATACTGTCTTGATGACTGTGGCTTTGTAGTATAGTCTGAAGTCAGGCAGATTGATTCCTCCAGTTCCATTCTTCTTTCTCAGGATTACTTTGGCTATTCGAGGTTTTTTGTATTTCCATACAAATTGTGAAATTATTTGTTCTAGTTCTGTGAAAAATATCGTTGGTAGTTTGATAGGGATTGCATTGAATCTGTAGATTGCTTTGGGTAGTATAGCCATTTTGACAATATTGATTCTTCCAATCCATGAACACGGTATATTTCTCCATCTGTTTGTGTCCTCTTTGATTTCTTTCATCAGTGTTTTATAGTTTTCTATGTATAGGTCTTTTGTTTCTTTAGGTAGATATACTCCTAAGTATTTTATTCTTTTTGTTGCAATGGTGAATGGTATTGTTTCCTTAATTTCTCTTTCTGTTTTCTCATTGTTAGTGTATAGGAATGTAAGAGATTTCTGTGTGTTAATTTTATATCCTGCAACTTTACTGTATTCGTTGATTATCTCTAGTAATTTCCTGGTAGAGTCTTTAGGGTTTTATATGTAGAGGATCATGTCATCTGCAAACAGCGAGAGTTTCACTTCTTCTTTTCCTATCTGGATTCCTTTTACTTCTTTTTCTGCTCTGATTGCTGTGGCCAAAACTTCCAAAACTATGTTGAATAGTAGTGGTGAGAGTGGGCACCCTTGTCTTGTTCCTGATTTCAGGGGAAATGCTTTCAGTTTTTCACCATTGAGGGTGATGTTTGCTGTGGGTTTGTCATATATAGCTTTTATTATGTTGAGGTATGTTCCTTCTATTCCTGCTTTCTGGAGAGTTTTAATCATAAATGGATGTTGAATTTTATCAAAGGCTTTTTCTACATCTATTGAGATAATCATATGGTTTTTATCTTTCAATTTGTTAATGTGGTGTATTACATTGATTGATTTGAGGATATTAAAGAATCCTTGCATTCCTGGGATAAAGCCCACTTGGTCATGATGTATGATTTTTTTAATATGTTGTTGGATTCTGTTTGCTAGAATTTTGTTAAGGATTTTTGCATCTATGTTCATCAGTGATATTGGCCTGTAGTTTTCTTTTTTTGTGGCATCTTTGTCTGGTTTTGGAATTAGGGTGATGGTGGCCTCATAGAATGAGTTTGGAAGTTTACCTTCTTCTGCAATTTTCTGGAAGAGTTTGAGTAAGATAGGTGTTAGCTCTTCTCTAAATTTTTGGTAGAATTCAGCTGTGAAGCCATCTGGTCCTGGGCTTTTGTTTGCTGGAAGATTTCTGATTACAGTTTCGATTTCCTTGCTTGTGATGGGTTTGTTAAGATCTTCTATTTCTTCCTGGTTCAGTTTTGGAAAGTTATACTTCTCTAAGAACTTGTCCATTTCTTCCAAGTTGTCCATTTTATTGGCATAGAGCTGCTGGTAGTAGTCTCTTATGATCCTTTGTATTTCAGTGTTGTCTGTTGTGATCTCTCCATTTTCGTTTCTAATTTTGTTAATTTGGTTCTTCTCCCTTTGTTTCTTAATGAGTCTTGCTAATGGTTTGTCAATTTTGTTTATTTTTTCAAAAAACCAGCTTTTAGCTTTGTTAATTTTTACTATGATCTCTTTAGTTTCTTTTGCATTTATTTCTGCCCTGATTTTTAAGATTTCTTTCCTTCTACTAACCCTGGGGTTCTTCATTTCTTCCTCCTCTAGTTGCTTTAGGTGTAGAGTTAGGTTGTTTATTTGACTTTTTTCTTGTTTCTTGAGGTAGGCCTGTAATGCTATGAATCTTCCCCTTAGCACTGCCTTTACAGTGTCCCATAGGTTTTGGGTTGTTGTGTTTTCATTTTCATTCATTTCTATGCATATTTTGATTTCTTTTTTGATTTCTTCTATGATTTGTTGGTTATTCAGAAGCGTGTTGTTTAGCCTCCATATGTTTGAATTTTGGGTTGAATGCCCCAACCAAAAGACAAAGGCTGGCTGAATGGATAAAAAAGCAAGACCCCTATATATGCTGTCTACAAGAGACCCACCTCAAAGCAAGGGACACATACAGACTAAAAGTGAAGGGCTGGAAAAAAATATTCCACGCAAACGGAGACCAAAAGAAAGCAGGAGTCGCAATACTCATATCAGATAAAATAGACTTTCAAATAAAGGCTGTGAAAAGAGACAAAGATGGACACTACATAATGATCAAAGGATCAATCCAAGAAGAAGATATAACAATTATAAATATATATGCACCCAACATAGGAGCACCACAATATGTAAGGCAAACGCTAACGAGTATGAAAGAGGAAATTAATAGTAACACAATAATAGTAGGAGACTTTAATACCCCACTCACAACTATGGATAGATCAACTAAACAGAAAATGAACAAAGAAGCACAAACTTTAAAGGACACAATGGACCAGCTAGACCTAATTGACATCTATAGGACGTTTCACCCCAAAACAATCAACTTCACCTTTTTCTCAAGTGCACACGGAACCTTCTCCAGAATAGATCACATCCTGGGCCATAAATCTAGTCTTGGTAAATTCAAAAAGATTGAAATCATTCCAGTCATCTTTTCTGACCACAGTGCAGTAAAATTAGATCTTAATTACAGGAAAAAAATTATTAAAAAGCACTTTACTTTAAAGCTCACAGTATTACTGTGAAGTATGCTGTTTTTCAGACGAGGTTCAGTCACTCACCCTAAGGTTCCACAGCTGGTTTTAAAAAAAGAGAAAGTTGGGAATTGAACTAACTCTGTTTCCAAAGTCCATGTTCTCCTGGTGTAGTCTGCCCTGAAACTGTCTGGGGACAGCCTGCTCATCTGTAGGTGTGCCCAGTAAATCCACTAGAGCTTTTCATTTGTACAGAAATTTTAATTTTTTCCTGATTTAATTTTTCCTTATCCAATATTGGTCACATCTGGTGGGTTTTAATGTCCCCTGTGCCACCACATTTCATCCTCTAAATACTGACTGTCTTTCTCCCCATAGTTTATTCTTCTAGCAAAATGCACTCATTTGTGATAGCTTTCAAGATTATATTTTGTAGTATTATTTGAGGAAAAAGCTAAAAGTATTCCTAAAGCTTGAGATTGCAGCTGAGAAATAGTTAACAGTAAATTATTTTCTGCTCTTTCTAAATCCATATTTATTTTTTAAATAGATAAATAGAAAAGATAGAAAGGCATATATTCCAAATTAATTTCTTTAAGCTTCATGGGCCACTGAACCAATGTATCAGCTTGCATTTCTCGTTGCTTAGATGTATGTAATTTTAGAAGATTGGGCTCATGAAAATGCTGCCCTTATTCTTAATTTATTCATTGGTGTATTTTCAGCCACAGCCACCTTTATTGAGGAAGATGATGTTAATAATTACTCCATCCATGATGTGGTAATGCCTTTGCCTGGTTTTGATGTTATCTACCCCAAGCATAAAAGTAAGTTCCCTGTATGGGGAAAATAGTTAAAGTCTAACATAATTAAGCCACTGGCACCCAAGAGTACAGAGAGAGAAAAGGAAAATCAGTATTAATTTCCATCAGACTTGAAAAAAATGTTTAGATTTCAAATATATGTAAGCCATGTTTACTTGTAAAAGTTTCCCTGGTATGGATGCATTCAGATGGATGATTTAAATTAAGAAACCAGATGGTGGAGATTGTGGTGGTAGTGATAATGTTGGTATTATTATTGTTGTTGCTGTTATTGTTGGCGCTATTATTTAAATTTCTGAAATTTGCTAATTCTTATTAAAGGTGGAAGAATTTGGAAAGTGTCATTGAGAAGGTGATTGAATGATTCTACTTTGTGGTGGTTTAGTTACTAAGTTGTATCTGACTCTTTGCAGCTCCATGGACTGTAGCCCACCAGGCTCCTCCATCCATGGGATTCTCCAGACAAGAATACTGGCGTGGGTTGCCATTTCTTTCTCCTAGGGATCCTCCCAACCCAGGAATCAAACTTGGGTCTCCTGCATCTCAGGCAGATTCTTTATGGACTGAGTTGCTAGAGAAGCCCCAATTCTACTTTAACATCGCTTTTTTAAAAGCTTTTTTTTTTTTTAACCATATAAGTAATGTCTGTTCATTGGGCTCAGAAGTTTATAAACTGGAAACTTAGAAATTTCCAGAAACTTAGAAAGTTTATAAACTGGAAATTCCCTACCCTTATTTCCCATGTCCCAGAGGCTGTTGAAAATTACTTTTGTACCTTCATGGATGCCACTGGCGGGGGGTGGGGGGGTGGGGATGGTTGTTCAAGGATTCAGAACTTGAAAAAAAGGAAGCAGCCCTGAGTATGGGACCAACTTGGTGGAACTGACCCTGAAAGTTTACTCCTCACCAGGGCTGGTCTGTAGGAGGTGTTTTCCTGTTTAAAAATCTTTTCTCTTGAGAGGGCAGAATTAATTTACTTATTGATGTTATATTCCTTGAAATTACAGAATGCTGAGGATTAGCACCCTTCTTTTATAAGGCAAATACTTATGAAAGAGTTGAGTGGTTATCTTCCGTTTACGTGTTGACTTAATCACATTGCTGTGTTAAGTTGGCCTCATGGAGGAAGAAGGATTAGAGAGAGTGGGAGAATGAGTAAGGGAGGCACATGGCCGAGGATGTAGCCTACCTGTGCTGCGTGGATGGTGCGCATGGCCCGGTGGGGAACCCAGGAGACGGATGCCGGGAGCTAGAGAAGGAGGCACGGAGGTTCTCAGAACCACACTCGCCCTCTTTGCAAGAGAGAAAAAGAAAACATTCTCTTCTTCTTTCTGGTACCTCTCAAGGTCGGAAACTTTGGGTCAGGCGGTATCAGTTCCTCAGCACAGCCTTTGACAGAGCCGATAGTGGGGACGCTGTGGCCACGGCAGGGCTCGCAGGCTGGCTGGGCGGTGGTCCAGGCATGTGGATTCATGACATAGGCATTTTGATAGCAGCGCTCAGTCGCCCAGCTGTCCTCATAAGTGGGTTTGAGGTCTTTCCTTGACCCTGGTCTGCCGAACATTTTTTTTTACAAATGACTTGAATAAGAAATCTGATTAGCATGTTTGCAAGTAGTATTACCCAAAATAGTTAATTATATGAAAAGTAAGTATTTAAAAGGCATTTAAAGTACCACAGAGGGCATTTAATATGGTTAAATGTAAATTCTCACATTTATGTTCAAAGAGCAAATGAATAAATGGAAAAGGCCACTCTGGTGGTAGTCTTCATAAAAGCTCTCCAGTGTTACTATAATATAAGCCTGTTACCCAAGGCAGATTAGGACTCGGTGGGGGCTACAGAACATTGGGGGGAACACGGTGGTCTAGAGAAGAGATGGCTTAAAGTCCCAGTACTTATGAACACATGTGGAAGGGGGCAGTTAATCTGTGTCTGAAAGCAGTCAACAGAAGTCACACAAAGAGCATGTCAGTTTGGCAAAGGAAGATCTTTCCAATAATTGCGTGCCTCACGAGATAGTAGCTCCCTGCGGATGGCAACGTGCAAGCAAAGGCTGGGTGCCTGTCTCTGGTGTTATAAAAAAAGATTCTACATCAGGTGCGAGGGTGAGCCAGATGGTATTCCCAGGTCTCTTATTTTTATACATTTATTTATAAGTACCTTCTTCTGGAAAGAGTTTGAGGCTCTGTGTATAGTCTCTTCCAACTCCTGAGTACATGTAAGTTGCAGTTGAGTAATTTCTGATGAAATGGTCTTTTGTGCCTGGCTTGGGAACCTTATACCCAGATACTGTGTCTGGTGGGAGAGATAATCTACAAGTTGGAAACAAACCTAAACTGGACACACCTTGTACTAGTTAGTAAGGCAGTAAATTTTAATTCTAGAGAACAGGTTGGATTAGAAGTTGATGTGACTAATTTTGTTAAGATGATCTAACTGGACTTTTGTTACCTTCTTTGTAGTCAAGCTCAGGGTAGCTTGCTGACATGCTGCATTCCACCTAACTTTTTTGTGTTTTTTATTAGTTAGTGAAGCCTACAGGGAGATGCTCACAGCAGACAATCTTGATATTGACAACATGAGACACAAAATTAGAGATTATTCCTTATCAGGGGCCTACCGAAAGATCATTATTCGTCCCCAGAATGTCAGCTGGTGAGTAATAGTCTTGAATGAAATAGAACTGAATTACTGTGTGAGATTTTAAGCTTTTGCATCACATAAATATTTTTCAGTGCTTACATCCTGGTATATGAGTGTTACTGTTGTAGTTATGAGAATACTATTTAATAACTACTATTCAGTATTTTTCAAGTTATCAGGAGATAAATGAATTCAAATATAGTGAAAGTGGCTAAGTTTACATCTTATTGATATTGGTAAATTATTGAAGAGATGTGCCGAGAATGAACTTTTTCCCTGTTTCTAAAGAAACTTGATATTTTCTAGTTATCTTACTCAGCTGTGAGTTCCACACTGTTATGATTGTTTCAGTATCATATTTCTAGAGAGAAAAAGGCATTTGTATTAACCCATTTTAAAATACCTTAATACTTCGTGTTATGTAAAGCTTTATTTGATAATTAAAAACTTAAAGCCTGGACCAGTTGCCCACCATCAGGAAACGCTGTCATTTCCTTCTCTCTGTCTCTTCCCCCTTGGCCTCCTCCCTCCTGTCTTCTGGATTGCTGGGAGAGGTTGGCAGAGCTGTCCTTGCTCTTGCCCGCTCTGGAGAGCAGTTTCTCAAAATGACACAGTGCTGTTAGTGGTGATAACCACTCTGGAAAAAATATAAATGCTGTGATTAATTCAGTCGCAGCTCTGCCAAGTGAAGTTTACTACATATCAACCACACACACAAGAATTTCCATCCTAGGGAAATATCTCTCGTCTTTCACATAGATTGCCATCATCTGTCACTTTGCTGTGTAGTATTTGTATATAAAATCTAGCCTTATTCTGTTACTGAATAGTCTCACCTAGAATTATCTATGCTAGGCCTATGTGTTTTTCTTAAGCAAATGATGATGAGCACCCTAGTACCTGTTACAGAAATTCACATTCACACTTTTCTTTCTTTATATGTTTTGAAGGGAAGTTGTTGCATATGATGATCCTAAAATTCCACTCTTCAACACAGATGTGGACAACCTGGAAGGTAAACCACCACCAGTGTTTGCTTCTGGTAAGTTTACTTAGCCATCAGTTCTGTGTCAACTTGGAGATGTTTTCTCATACAGAAATATATTTTTAAAAAACTTACCATCACCCACCACCTCCCAACCCACTCTGTGATTTCTATTTTGCATTTTGTCTTCTTAGTTTTAAGATTATAGCTGAAGGTCAGTGATTACAGCAGTGTTTTGCACTGAAAATAAATGAGCATTATAGGTGGTTATAGTATCATGTGATTGAATATCCTCCTCCCCACCATAAAGAGTTAACGAAGATGAGTGAAAATCCAGCATGAGAGTCTAAGACATTGTGTGCCTTCTCACCATCAAATTCTTGTTACCTTTTCTTTGTCCAGTTTCACCGTGTGGTAAAAACATTGTACATGGGTTTTCTCTTCTGTCACCCACCCTTTTTAGGAAGGGTCCAGGTAGAATTACTGTAGAGAGTCAGCTGAATCCTCTACTTACAGATTCCTTTCTTCCATGCTCCTTCTCTGGGAAGCAGGCTGAGGAAAGGACCACAGTTCTTTGTGTATGGAGATTACGTGACTCATACCAGGCTGTCTGCAGCTGCCTTACTTTTCTGTCTGTTGTCTCCTTTCTTGCCTGGCAGAAGGCAAATACAGAGCTCTGAAGATGGATTTTTCTCTCCCTCCTTCTACCTACGCGACCATGGCCATTCGCGAAGTGCTTAAAATGGATACCAGCATCAAGAACCAGACCCAGCTGAACACCACCTGGCTCCGCTGAGGCCTGTGTCCCCATATTAGAAAATGCCAACTTGTGTTGCTGGCATCCTGTTCATTTTCCTCTTAGTGCAGGCCCCTGTGTGGATTTTGGATCTTTGTAGTAAAAGACTATTTGTATTTTTCCAAGTTTTTATTAGCTTAATTTGCAATATTTGTACATATATAGAAATCGTGAGGCGCCTCATTTTAGTTCAGAGAATATAAATTGGTTAGAATATATTTCAGGTGCTTAAATCATAGCAAAATGTCAGCTTTTATTGGCTTTATAATCATTTTAAAGAAATTTGGTTTAAAGTAGCAGTTTTATATTTTGCTACATTCTTGAAGGGCAATAGGAATTTTTAATGCATCTCTGAATGTATACAAAACAATGCATTTTAAGAGAAAATGCAATGAAACAGATATTGACTATGGATAATAATTAGTGACACCACTCCCCTCAGAAAAACCCTATAAATATAAATAACAGTACTTATGCTCATATTAATGGTGGTAAAACATCCACAGGTTTATAAACACAAAAGTGATTGTTATTATCCATAAACCAGGTTCAACTAAGTGTATATAGACTTTCCGGTTGCAATAGCTTTTGCATTTATTATTATCATTGCCTTGCAGGAGAGTTGCATCAATAGGGCTTTTTTTCTTTATGTAAACGTGCAGCTATTTTTAGTTAAGGTCTACTTTTTACTCCAGGTGCCTTTTATGTTAACTCTTTCTGCTGGACTGATATTTGCCCAAAAATAAATGATAGAGAAGAAAACTTTTGCAAACTTAACAAGGGCTCCTCCTATCAGCAGCATTCCCTTTGTTACCCATGGTGGAGGTCTTTCCAGTTCTGGCCATGCATCAAACTCTGCTCCGGTACGAAAGCATAAATATGCCTTTCCAAGGGTGTGTGACATTATTGTATCAATTTTTATTTTCTATCATTTCTAGAATCAAATACAATAAATCTTTTTAAAAACTCTGTCCTACTGGTAATATTAATAAATGACATAAAAACCTAAAACTGAATGCAAATGAGAATCTTGGCCTTGTCGAAGGCAAAGAACCAGGTGAACAAGGACTCCTCAGAAAAGGTGTGTCATGACCGAGTGTGGGATAATGACGGTGTGTGGAATTACAGGACTGACAGACCCTGTGAAACTGTCGGCAAGGTGATTCTTCCAGTAGCACGACTCACTTGCCTTCCAGCGTGCTTTCTCGATGGAAGAGACAGGCATGCGGAAAAGTTGCCCTGCCAGGAGCATCACACCGGGGGAGTGTGGATGTTGTTCCTCCTCTGTCTGGCAGTGGAAACAAGGTGGAAGACTGTTTCTTTAGCACTGGTATTTTAATGATGTCCATCACATTGTAGAGGTTAAAAAGGTTAGAACTCTCCTGGTTAATTAGCCTTTCAGCTGGCTAGTTTCCAAAGAATCTTTTGCCTCACAAGGACCAAAAGTATTAAATGTATATTGGACTGTTTGTACTTTCCAGTGCTAGCAAGTTATTCTTCATCAGACTGATTAGTGAGAAAGTATTTATTATGGGAGCCTAACTCTACATATTGCAAGTACATTCAGTACTTCTGCGTTTATAAATTTACATTACTCCCCAAAAAAGAAGTGAGGCTAAACTTATGTTTTCTTCATTTTTGAAATACTGTGGCTCTTTGTGACAAGTTTCCTGGCTGCATAAGCCAACTACCAATTTGTATATGTCTCCTCTTAAACACCAGTGGAAAATAATGGTTCATGGCAGATTTTCAGAGCCATGTTGAGACTTGGGGACAATTAATCCTAGGGACTTGGTCTACTGGGAGAAATCATTGCCTTAGCATTTTATTGTTAACACTTGGAGGCAGGTGACAGGATTCCTGAGGCAGATTAATGAAGCCTGGCAGCAACTTCATCCTTAACATAAAAGTATCTTTGAAAAAAAAAAAAAATCTTTGTTTCCTAAATTTTTACCTGAAAACAGTAAAGAATGAGTATTTCTTATTATAATGTGAAAGCAGTTCCATTTACTAATAGAAAAGTAAGCTCAGTAATCATAGTCTGACCAGCTGATTTGTTCATGGTTTTATGTAGTAGGTAATAACTAGACAGCTATGATACTAATAAAAATTTTTTTTTTCCTGGTTGATTCCTGAATCAACTGAAATATTGGTAGCAGCTGCAACAGCCCTTCCGTACTTAAAACTCTACCAGTTGTTTCAGACTGTACAGATTAGCACAAACTGGTATGTATTTGCCCTGAGATGCATTTTGTGGTCAGTTTTGTGCTAAAAAATAAGGGTATGAGTGTGGGTACATAATACAAAATAGAATATATATAAATGTTATACTAACATTTTTTATCTGTGCTAATGTGTGTACATATGGTATTTTGAGACATAAAAACAGTCTAGGAGTGTTGTACTCTGTGGTTAGCATGGGTGAAAATACAGTGGAAGAACCTCAAAGCCGTGGATGGCCAGTTTCTGCCTTTCATAAATTGAAGACCATACTTGCAAAACAAAGGATAATTGAAAGGTTTTTCTTTATTCAGTGAAATCTGCTTTCCTGTTTTATGGGGCTACATTCCTGTAGGATAAAACTTCTGTTTTGAATGGCAAACTCCTTGGAAAATCAAGGGAAAAGTATGGACATTGTTTCCAGGGGAAAGAAAAGGGTAAAGCGTGTGTACCCTCAGTGCACGCACACACACACACACACACACACACACGTGCCAACTTTTCATACAGTTTTCTGCACTTCAGTGTAATATTCAGCTAAGACCACCTACTCTGAGTAAGTGCTTTCCAGACTTGAATGTGCATAGGGATCACCTGGTCTTGTTACAGTGCACGATATTTCAGGGAGTCCAGGTAGATTTGTGTTTCTAACAAAGTTCCAGAGGTGCTTATGCTACTGGTCTGCGCACCACATTTGGGGAAGCAAGGCTGTAGGCTTGTAGTGTGCTGGGCAGTACAGCAGCCCCTTGCCACGTGTGGTTAATTTAAATTTAACTAAAAATAAAACTTAAAATTGAGTTTCCCAGTCACACTAGGCACAGTTCAGCAGCCCCATTGCCATATGTGTGGGTAGTAAGATAGCACTGCTCTGAATAACAAATCCGTCACCCAAGATACACGGGAGGTGCAACATCCAGTGATGCTAACGATGAAAGGCAAATGCTCAGGTACATACGTTCCACAGGTGCAAGTGGGGTTACAGTGCTGTTAGGTCCAGGGCTTACACTGATGGCTTAACCAGGAAAAAGTCTTAGCTGCCGTCATTAAAAACTTTCCTTCCTGGCTGGCACAAACTATGGCCTCTTATGAAAGCAGCAGCTACAGAAAGCAAGAAGGGTTTAGGGTTCTTATGGTTCTGTTGTCTTGAGGAGTGCTGTGATGACTGTTACAGATTTTTCACCCATACTGAAGACTCCTTCCAAGTGGCCAGTATATGAAAGAGGTGGCAGCAGAAAGCTGTAATGGGAGAGGTTATTCAGAGCCCTGTTCTCTGATACATACTCACCATCCCCATAAAAGCTCTTAATGTTTTTCTAGAGCAACTCTATCTGATAGAAATATGTGAGCTGCATATGTAGTTTAAAATGTTGACTGCAGCCATGAAATTAAAAGGTGCTTACTCCTTGGAAGGAGTTATGACCAACCTAGACAGCATATTAAAAAGCAGAGACAATACTTTGCCAACAAAGGTCCGTCTGGTCAAGGCTATGGTTTTTCCAGTGGTTATGTATGGATGTGAGAGGGGGACTGTGAAGAAAGCTGAGCACTGAAAAATTGATGCTTTTGAACTGTGGTGTTGGAGAAGACTCTTGAGAGTCCCTTGGACTGCAAGGAGATGCAACCAGTCCATCCTAAAGGCAATCAGTCCTGGGTGTTCATTGGAAGGACTGATGCTGAAGCTGAAACTAATACTTTGGCCACCTCATGCGAAGAGTTGACTCATTGGAAAAGACCCTGATGCTGGGAGGGATTGGGGGCAGGAGGAGAAGGGGACGACAGAGGATGAGATGGCTGGATGTCATCACCGACTCGATGGGCATGAGTTTGAGTAAACTCTGGGAGTTGGTGATGGACAGGGAGGCCTGGCATGCTGCAATTCATGGGGTCACAAAGAGTCGGACACGACTGAGTGACTGAACTGAACTGAACTGACTGAATAATCACATTGAGTCTGTTCTGTTTCAAAATACCGTGTACATTTTATACTTAACAACACATCTCAGTTTGGATTAGCCACATTTCAGTTATTCAATAGCCACATGTGGCCAGTGGCTACCATATTAGACAATAAGGTTTTGAAAGATCACTTCTTTATTGCCTGTCATTGGTGTAGTGGTAAATTTGTCTTGAGTATTAAGGTTTAACTTGTAAAACTGGGAATATGTAAGTTGGGAGTAAGACTGGTTAAATGTGATTTTGAAATGCTTAATAGATGATTACATTTTATGGTGATTGGGAGTAAATATTTTTGCTATGGGAGTATATAACAAACATGACTGTTAACAGATGTGAAATAGTTCAGGATGCTTGAAATTTTCCTTAAGCAGTTCCGATGACACTGTAATTTTCTCTCCTCTGAATAATGCAGAGCTAATCCCTAGTGCAACTTCTTTTTAGATTTTAGATTCCAAATATATGGAATATGAATTGAACTTTCAGGGTTGAGAGTGAGGATTTTGTGACTGGTTAGCATATAAAGCTTGGGAACTCAGGTTGTTTGTATAGACGTGGTAAGGTGCTGAAGTTTTTGCCTTGTTTTTGCTAACAGCTTTTTGTTGGCATATATTTCATATATTGTACAGTTCACTCATTTAAAGTATATAATTCAGGGGTTTTTAGTATATTCACAGTTGTGCAGCCATCCTCACAATCAATTTTACAATACTTCTATCACCCCAAAAAAGAAACCCCATACCCATCAGCAGTCACTTTCCATGCCCAATCCCTGGCAACCACTATCCTGGCAAGAACTACTTTCAGTCTCTATAGATTTGTCTGTT